GAGTCTACTGTAATGGCTCTGTTTACCTGCTGGCCCTTGAGGTGCATGGTGTGGCCACACCTCTCCACTGTCTATAAGCCAGGAAAGTGCTAAATATGAACCAAGCCTCATCTCAATTGTCACAGCCCGACTATAGGGCGGTCGTTCCATCACTCCCGACTTACGAGGAAACTGATACGCTGATGCTTCTAAGGGTCTAAAGGCGTCGAACCTGGAGCCACGCTCCCAGGGCAAGCAAAACACGACGCCACAGATTATCTCCGCCCCGCCCCCCCCAGCTGAGCCTTTTTATATGCGAGCCCTACGGGTCGCGTACAGGGCCACGCCTAGTCGCTATTTTTGGGTCCACTCCACCCCGTCGATCCCGCCAAAGGTTGTCTCGCGCGGCGCACTGTGGGAAAACCGCGGGGAGGTGCCTAAAGCGGACCCTGCCGCCTCTAACTTTAGTTGTCTTAGCTACTGCCTACAAAAGATGCGCCATTGTGGCACTTATTTTTGTAATTTTCCTCCACCAGCGGCCGAGAGGAGAGCCGAAGCCTTTGGGAAAAATATTACTAGACGGTTGAGTGTTTCCGGGCGCATCAGGCACTCATTCGGGCAGCCTGTCCCTCTGGAGGGGTCCTTCACTCCTGGCACCTCTGGTTACGGACAACGTTCAGGAGCGACTGCCAATGAGCTCCGCCGAGTAGGACGGGGGCAGGGCTAGCGCTTAAAGGAGCCGCGACCCCTTTGCAGACCAGAGGGTGACCCGGATGATGGCGGCCGGCGCGGCCCTAGCCCTGGCCTTGTGGCTACTAATGCCACCAGTGGGGGTGGGAGGGGCGGGGCCCCCGCCAATCCAGGACGGTGAGTTCACGTTCCTGTTGCCGGCGGGGAGGAAGCAGTGTTTCTACCAGTCCGCGCCGGCCAACGCAAGCCTCGAGACCGAATACCAGGTAGAGGGTCGCGAGCTGGGCAGCCAGCGGAGTCAGGGAGAGGGGGCGTGGCCAAGCGGCCGGGGCGAGGCGCGCTTTAGGAGGAAGGGGGAGGAGTCCGTGCTTGGGAACGCGGGGGTGGAGCTAGCAAGAGATGGACAGATGGGGCGGGGACGGTGTGTGGGGGAGTAATAAGGCGGGACTAGAGTGAGAGATCGAGTGGGCGGGGCCAACCATAAGTATAGGGAGCCTCTGAGAGGACAGGATTCTCGCTCGTGGGCGTGGCAATAGTGCTGATAGGTCGACTATGGGGACGTTGCCGACACAGGCCTTTCTTGGGAGTTAGACTAAGGAAAAAGGCTGGACCTATCCTCTTTCGGAGGCGGAGCCAAGCGGGGGCGCGGTCAGGTAAACTTCCATTAAGACTTTTGATACGTGCGTGGTCAGCTGAAAGTATGGACCCCAAGCTGTCATATCAATGAGGGTAGAGGCAAGGGGCGCAGCCATTGGGACAGGTGGGGGCGGGACCGGTTGTGGGTGTGCCACCGTTCACGTAAGCCCTTGGTGGTCTGTATTCATCAGTGTTGGTTCAGCCGTAGCCCTCTTTGGCAGGCGCCCTTGGCCTACCGCTAGCCCTCCACCCACTCTTACCTGTCCCCCAGGTGATCGGAGGTGCTGGGCTGGACGTGGACTTCACGCTGGAGAGCCCTCAGGGCGTGCTGTTGGTCAGCGAGTCCCGCAAGGCTGATGGGGTACACACGTGAGTTCAGTCCTAATGCCTTCCTGGGTTGAGTTACAGCCCTGCCCCTTCCAGGCGGCCTCAGGTTACCGCCCTGACTGCCCCAGAGTCGGCTGGCCGGCCACCCTGGTTCATGTTTGTGTGTCTGTCTGCCCAGCGTGGAGCCAACGGAGGCCGGGGACTACAAGCTGTGCTTTGACAACTCGTTCAGCACCATCTCCGAGAAGCTGGTGTTCTTTGAATTGATCTTTGACAGCCTCCAGGATGACGAGGAGGTCGAAGGATGGGCAGAGGCTGTGGAGCCCGAGGAGATGCTGGATGTTAAAATGGAGGACATCAAGGTGTGTCCAGGGTGCACTGAGGCCACTCCTTCCAGATCTCTAGGATTCATCTGGGGCACCCCCCCTTGGGCTGACCTAGCCTCCCCTCCGAAGTTGTGCCCCCAACCGAATTATAGTAACAGTAGCAGCTCTTAAAATAAGTAGTTCATTTCAGGCTGGGCATGGTGGCTCACGCCTGTAATCCCAGCACTTTGGGAGGCTGAGGTGGGTGGATCACCTGAGGTCAGGAGTTCGATACCAGCCTGGCCAACATGGTGAAACCCCATCTCTACTAAAAATACAAAAATTAGCTGGATGTGGTGGCGCACGCCTGTAATCCCAGCTACTCAGGAGGCTGAGGCAGGAGAATCACTTGAACTCAGGAGGTGGAGGTTGCAGTGAGTTGAGATCATGCCACTGCACTCCAGCCTGGGCAATAAGAGTGAAACTCCGTCTCAAAAAAAAACAAAAAAGGTAGTTCATTTCTAGGTGTAAACCCTGGTGTAAAGGTTTAAGGAACTCATATCATAAATAAATTCATATTGTAAAACTCTATAACCACCTTGTGAAGTAGACCCCGTGCTCAAATCATCCCTATTTTACAGGTGGGAAAAGTGAGATACAGGATGGCTGAGCAACTCATGGCCACACAGACGAACTAGCAGAGTTGGTATTGAACCCACGCTGGTTTCAGCAACTATTCTCTTAACCACAAGCAAATATGTTCTGTACATTTATTAATTAACGACTTATTTATTTTCAAACAGATCTCTCTTGGTCACCCAGGCTGGATTGCAGTGGCACGATCTCAGCTCACTGCAACCTCTGCCTCCCAGGTTCAAGCAGTTCTCCTGCCTCAGCCTCTCGAGTAGCTGCACTACCACGCCTGACTAATTTTTGTGTTTTTAGTAGAGACAGGGTTTCACCATGTTGGCCAGACTGGTCTCAAACTCCTAACCTCAGGGGATCTGTCCACCTTGGCCTCCCAAAATTCTGGGATTACAGGTGTGAGCTACGGCGAGGCAAGGTCTTGCTGTGTCACTCAGGCTGGAGTGCAGTGGTGTGATCATAGCCCATCGCAGCCTCAAACTCCTGGGCTCAAGCAGTCCTGCCACCTCAGTGGGACTACAGGTGTGCACCACCATGCCTAATTTTTTGTTTTCTGTAGAGACGAGGTTTCACCACGCTGGCCAGGGTGGTCTTGAACTCCTGGGTTTAAATGATCCTCCTGTCTTGGTCTGTGTTTGCATTACACATGTAATCTTGCCTCAGCCTCCTGAATAGCTGGGATTAGTTGCACATCACCACCCCTGGCTAATTTTTTGTAGAGATGGGGTTTTGCTATGTAGCCCAGGCTGGTCTCAAACTCCTGGGCTCAAGCGATCCTCCCACCTCAACCTTCCAAAGTGCTGGGATTACAGGCATGAGCCACCATGCTCGTCCTTGTGCATTTATTTAGGCATTAAATTTTCACAGCAGCTTGCAAGTTTATAGAAGAGGAAACAGGCTCAGATAGGTTAATTAAGTTGCTCATGGTCACACAGCCAGTGAGTGGCAGGGCGAGGATTTCAACTTAGCCTGAACAAGTCTGTGTTTGCAGCTGTACCCTCCTGGGCTAATACAGCCTCCCTCCGTATCTCCTGGTTTTTTTGGTCTCTGGTTCCCGATGGGCGGGGGGACGCCTGACCCTTCCCCTCCCTCTGCCCTGCAGGAGTCCATTGAGACCATGCGGACCCGGCTGGAGCGCAGCATCCAGATGCTGACGCTACTTCGGGCCTTCGAGGCACGTGACCGCAACCTGCAAGAGGGCAACTTGGAGCGGGTCAACTTCTGGTCAGCTGTCAACGTGGCGGTGCTGCTGCTGGTGGCCGTGCTGCAGGTCTGCACACTCAAGCGCTTCTTCCAGGACAAGCGCCCGGTGCCCACGTAGCCCCTGCCACGGAAGGAAGAATGGGACGAAGGAGGGGCAGCGGGGTGTGTGCGTATGAGACTTGGGGGTCCCTCCCCATTTTAGTTTCCTGCCAAAATGGGAGTGTGCAGTTGGGGCCTGTGGTCTGGCCCCGTGAGTCTCCTTCCGTCCTCAGTGGGCAGGGAACACTTCTGGCTTGCAGAAGGGACGGCTCAGCGGCTGCACCGACGGTCCTGGAAATCTCACATGGTGGGCACTGCAGCGTTGGAACGTGAGCCTCAGATTTCCTGGCCCCTCTACTGTAAATGTGCCTTAGCCTAAGCCTTCCATCCTGTGTTACCGTTGCCTGGTGCGGGGCAGGGCCTAACAAGGAAACCTGGGCCCTCCAAGCCAGGCTGAGGTCTGGTAACAGAATGCCAGGAAGGGGGCCTGGAAGACCACCTGCCCCGGCCCCTCTTCCTGCAGGGGCCCCACACAGGCATGAGGGATGGCCCGGCCAAAGTCTAGGCAGAAGCCTCCTGGAACAAAGGGTGGTGTGGCCTGGGCATCGGAGTCAATAAATTATGGTCAGAAAATCACAGAGCCTGCTGACTGGGGCTCAGGGACACCAGCTAGGACAGACCGGCCCGCGAAGGGGGCAGCCAGACAGGCGGGAGGGGCCTCCCACGAAGCTCAGAAGAAAGGTCTGGCGGGAGCCGATGGAGGGGGTCGCCCGGCACAAGAGAAAAATCAGAAAGCAAAGTTTAACTGAGTCCCAGTTGGGCCACGAGGCCTGGGCTTCCCCAAGACAGGGTGAGAGAAGCAGGGCCTGAGGGTAGGAAGTGGGTGGAGCACTGGGGTCCCGGCTTCACCAGGCAGCAGCCAGGCCTGTGCACGTGGGGGTGTGTGGGGGATCAGAGAACATCTGCTGCCACTCCTCCTGTGCTAAGGAAAGTAAAAGCTCTCGTCTGTATCCAGTGGCTTCCTCTGAAAGGCGACACCCAGGAAAGCAGAGCCCTCAGGGAGGTGTGAGGCGCTTATGTTTGCAGGGACCTGGGCGTCCTTATGGGAGGCCTGATGGGGGAGGTGGCTTCCACGTCCCCAGCCCGAACACTAACACAAGAGGCCCACACAGCAGCCACCAGCAGCGTCTTCCCTTTATTTTAGTTTATTAATAGGATACAGAGTGCAGGCACTTACAGTGGTCAAACCGAGCGAGGAGTGGGTGAGGTCTGCTCAGAGAGAGGCCACCCGGGGCCCACCCCATCAGGGAGGCATGGGTGGGAGCTGAGAGGCCCCCAAGGCCCCCCACCACCACCACCCACATAGCCCAAGCCCAGCCACCCTGGGGGACCCGGGAGGAGGAGGAGAGAGGAGTAGGGCAAGGCCGGCCCGGGCCAACGGCTCCGGGCCTAGCAAAGGCACCTCTGGCAGCCGAGGCTGGGCCGGGCTCAGGCTGCGTGGTTAATATGGCCAGGAAGGACTATGTACACCTCAGGCCTGGCAGCCGGGCACTACTGAGCCCACTGGGCCAGGCTTGCCGCTGGGGAGCTCCTGCTAATGAGAAGTTGATATACCCCTGCACCCCAGCAAGGCCTGGGGACATAGGCGCCCTTGGTGCCCCCAATTCTAGAAGGCCTGCCCTACATGGGCCTTCCCAGCCCGAGAAGACCCTGGCAGAGTCCCCCCAAGGCTGGACCCCTCATTCAGGATGGCGTCAAGGGTTCAGATCCCCCTCTGCCACCCTGAGACTCCATCCCCCAAAGTGCATCACCCCAGCGCCCCCTGCCTGGAGCTCCAGGGCCCCTTTGCGCAGTGCGGTGTCCAGCCAGGCATGGGGGCCGGCCCTGGACCGGGGCCAGCGTTAAGGAAGAGGCCAGGGCTGCCCACTGGGAGCCTGGTCCCGGCATAGGGGCGGCAGAGGGCCCCAGACCACCGAAGCTCCGGCGCCGCGGGTGCGTGAGGTCCCCCCGAGAGCACGCCCCCCTGGAGGCCTAGTCGAGCAGGGAAGGCTCGGCTGGGCGGATAATGGTGGGCCGGCTGGGCGCAGCAGGGGGTCTTCTGCTGCAAAGAGAAGAAAGACAGGTGGGGAGGGGGAGACGGCAGTGAGGCCGTGAGCAGGAGGCAGGCCTGGGTTGAGGACCCAGCCCCCACCCACACACCACCCCACGGTGTTCACCAGACTGACCTCCACAAGCCACCAAGGCGTTGGGGAGGAGTGCCAAACCCAGGCATCGACTCGCCTGCTGTTTGACCCTCGGTGAGGCCCTTGCCCTCCCTGGGCCTCAGCTTCCCCACTGGAGAAGTGGGGAGAATAAAGCCTGGCCCACGGGGTAGGCTGAGGCAGGCAGGGGTAGGAAGGAGAGGGAGGTAAACAGTGGGAGGAGGTGCCCAGCGTGAGGGTTCCCCAGCTGCCTGGTGGCGCACCCCAGTGGGCAGAGGGCAAGCTGGAGGCTACTCTGAAAGACACTGAACAAGCCTCTTGACCTATCTGGGCCTGTTTTCCTGTGAGCCAAACAGGGATGAGGGCGATTCCTCCACTCCAGCAGCTGGGCACGTGGTGAGAGCTCACTTGGAGGAAGTAAGACAGGAGGAGAGACCCCAGGGTGCAGGCAGTTGGGGTGGAGGGCAGAGGGTCAGCCTTACCTGGGTACTCCTGGGGGGATCCCTGGGGGGATCCGAACAGGCCGAGATGGGATCTGAGGTGGGGCTGGGAAGAGGTCATTGTTGGCAAACACACTCTGGGGTCCAGGCCGGGATGGGATTGGGGGCGCCGAGAAGGAGGCTGCTGCCCCCACGGGCACAGGAATCAGGGGGGGCCCTGGAGTGGAGCCCCTCACCGCTGGGGGCCGGCCGGGGGGGTGTATGCTGGACACCGGTCGGCGCTGTGGAGTGGGGCTGTGAAGAAGGAGAGGGTGTGAGCTACAGATACAGATGGAGTAGGAGCCCCCGCCATGCCACTGTGGCTGCCAGAACTTGAGGTGGGGGCTGGCTGGAGGGGACAGTGCAGGTGCAGTGGGATCCTCCCACCCCAACCTGAACGCTAGTCCCACCTTCCCTTGCCCTTGGCCCCCAAGGACTCCGGTTGCCCTCTGACCTCATCCCCACAGCCCCCACAGGCCAGACACTTCGCACTCACAGGGCCTCCTCAGGCCTTGGGCCTGGGATCCACCCTCACAGACAAAGATACTTCCAGAGTCCTCCAGATCAAGCCCTAATGCCTCCAGGGGCCGTGGAACCTGCAAGCCCTGTCCAGACACCCAGGTTCCCTCCTGGGCCTCAGCACCTGCTGCCTGCAGGCCTGGGTACGATGTCCTCCCCCTAGGGAACGCCATGGTTCCCCAAGGGCTCTGCAGGGCGGCCCCCTCTGAGGTTCCCTGCCCGACGGCCTCAATGGACAACTCAGGGGCGGCGGCAGCTCTGGCCACGCCTTGCGTTTGCCCCTCCAGAGCCTCCCATCCGCCGCACTCTGTGATTGAGGAGGCTTGTCTCTCTCCTGCGGCTGCTGCCCCTCCAGCCTCTTACCCCGGCTTCCATTTGGGCTGTGCCGACGGAAGGCACCCGCAGAGGCAGGCAGGGTATTCATTCACAAGGTCCTGCCCTAGAGCTGCGGGGCTGGCTGGCCCCCATACCCTTTCTCTCCCTCCTCCGGCCGCAGCAGGGCAGCAGCTCCCACAGTGCCCAGCCCTGGGTGCCACCCCTTCTCCTGCCCACCCTTGGGTTGTGTCCTGTTTCCTGCCAGGACCCTGCAGGACACACAGGAAGGCCAGGAACCTGCAGGCCGAATGCTTGAGGGCAGGGGAACCAGGATTCCGGACCTGTGGCTGCTGGCGCTCTGGAGCCAGGTGTCGTCGACGGGCGGGGGTACGGGCGTGGACACGGTGCTGGTGCTGATGTCGCCGATGATGTTGAGCGCCTCCTTGAGGGCGTGGTACATGCGCAGCATGTCGTCCCGCCGCTGCGCCTGGTCGGCCGACTCCTCCATGAGGCTGCTCTGGTCCGCTGAGGAGTATAGGTAGGCCAGAAGCTCGTGGTGGATGAAGGCCTTCGTCTGTGGGCAGGGGTTGGGGAGGGTCAGGCTTGCACATCACCCCAACCCAGAACCCACAGTGATTGCTGGAAAAACGTCTCCCACAGGGCGGGGCTCCCCCCAGACTTTTTTGCAATTCTCCTGCCTCAGCCTCCCGAGTAGCTGGGACCACAGGTACGTGACACCATGCTTGGCTAATTTTTGTAATTTTTGTAGAGATGGGGTTTCACCGTGTGACCCAGGCTGATTATGAGATTCTTACTCAACTTATTTCTAGTATCTTGCCTCTTCTATTGATATCTTTTCTCCTGTTTTAGCTTATTTATTTATTTCTTTAACCTTGGCAGAATAATCCTGTTATATCTTTTTTTTTTTTTTTTTTTT